ACTTACAAAGAATAACAATTTTGGCAACTTACATAAGCTTACTTACAATCAAAGTCTAGACTCATAGATTTTTATCTTCCACTTAAACACTTTTTGTCAATTGTTAAATGCTCTGAAGCAATTCATGTTAATTTTTTCAGTGACAGACATAAAGGGTTATTATTAGAAAGTTTAAAAGAAATATTCTAAGCACAGTAATGTGCATCACACTACAGCAGGTGTGGATGAGGAATACTGATGATACAATTATAGATCCTTTATCCAGGAAAAGATCCACGCTGGTACTATTATTTTAATCATGAAGATATAAGATCATATAGTCCAACCCCTCCATTTCCAAGAGAAAGAAACTAAAGACAAAATATGTTAAGTGACTTGCTCACCATCACATAGCTAGTTGCACAGCCTTCATCAAGACTCAGAATTTTGCTGTATGGTGCTTTCCCAACTTCACCTGTCTGCTTCTTAACAGCCGGAAAGTCTCTATATACAATTTTGATCGTACAGGCTTCTGTGTCAACAGTAATGCAGTATAGTAGAATAAAAAGTAAGGATTTGGAATTTATTCACTCATTCATTCACTTATTCATTCAACACATACTGAATGGCTAGCATGTGTCACCGTACTAGGTAGAACTCCATACCTACCACATAATTATTTGTGTGACTTTGGACAAAAATTTCTTTAGATCCCAGCTTCATAATTATTAACATGAAGATAGTAACATCAACCTTTCTCACAATGTTGAAAGATTGAATGAGATCATGTACTTGGAAGTGCCAAGTAAGGTCCCCAATTTATGTACAACTGGCCTATTATCTGTATTGCACACCATATGAACAATTGCCACATGAATGTCCAACCTCATACTTAACATGTTGAGATTGAACTTACTATCTTTCCCTTCCTGTAACTTTCTTGTATCCTAAGACATTTCATCTACTTCCTTTCAAACCTTTCTTGTATCTCCTGACTCTTTATCAGTACCATGAAAAACCATGATGATATCATATAAAGATTTTAAATTAAAATAGAAAAGCTGGCCTCAGCATGGCTACTTAATTTCTCTAAGCTCCCATCAAAGACAGAACAAGTTTCAAAGCACGTGAACCTGAATTAAGCCATTAAGCACTCTAGCTCTATAAGATAAAATTCAAAGTCCATCTTTGGACATAAAGCTGGTAAGATTAGGGTTGCTTACAAGTGTTTCCACTTTAGGTGGAAATTATGTGTTAACATCTGAATTCCCAGGAAAGGTTAGAAGTGGCAAGCAGCCACTTGAAAGCTACTTTACTATGCACAGTGCTTTCCTACTTTGAAATCTTCCTTCTATTGACGTTTTGTGAATGAGGAAACTGACCAAGCAGCAGAAAAAAGGCAAACTCAAATTAAAGTGCTTCCTCTCAATTGAACAAGCCATGCCACTCCCTCATCAATGAAAAAATGTAAAAATGAATATATCCCAAGCATCTACCACCCTCATCCTAAATATTTCAAGTTCTACCACTAGGTACACAGAGGAGTTACTGTGCATGGATTTCTAGTATTAATAATAGCAAAGGAGAGTGAGCAACGGTGCTAGCTTTTGCTTCCACACATAAATAGCAGAAAAATAAGACTTATGAAAGGCAAGAGAGCAACAAATAACCAAAACTGCCCAGAGTTTCTTCTTCTTACTATATGGTCATTTATCTCCATTAAAAATCACTCGGAAGTCAGATTTTATTAGGAAAAACGTAAAATATTTTATTCAAAGGAAAATACAATGTCCTGCTGTGATCAGTTCCTTCAGGCCTCAACAATTCTTGTACCATTCATCTCCAGAGCATTCAGAACTCTGAGTTTAAAGACTCCTTGGGAAATCAAAACCATAATGCAGAGGTAGATGGTTCCTGATGGCACAAACCAACTCCTGTGTTCTGCAAGTAGGGTTACTGAGGCCCAACACCATTAGGTGATGTTACAGATTGAATTGTGTCTCCCAAAATGCATATGTTGAAGTCCTAACTCCACCACCTCAGGATATGATGGTATTTGAAATCGAATTTTTTTCAGAGGTAATTAAGTGAGGTCATTGGACCCTAATCCAATATGACTGGTGTCCTTATAAGAAAAGGAAATTTGGACAAAGGCACAGAGAGAAGATGATGTGAAGACACAGGGAAAAGACAGCCATCTATTCACCAAGAAAGGCTTGAAACAAATCCTTTCTTCATGGCCATCAGAAGGTGGGCCCTGACACCTTGACCTCGGACTTCTAGCCTCCGGAACCATGAGATGCTGTTTGAGCCACTCAGTCTGTGGTACTGTGTTATGGCAGCCCTAGCAAACTAGCATGGTGATGAAAAACAGTCAGGATCAAAACCCAGCTTTCCAGACTCTAATATGAGGCTTTCTAACTCACTACACTGTCTTGCAATTTAGCTCTCTGTTTTCACTCAAAGTTCTCTCCCATAAAAATCTTACCACTTGTTCAACTTGTTAAAGACCATGTTAATATATACTGTTCATGCTGGCCTCTTGTGAGCTACACTTCCACATCACAAAAAGACATTTTTGTATAGATGTCTCATGAACTCAAGCCCCAATGTGTAAAACCCCAATCAACTACTCCACAAAGTTAGTATGGACACTGTTTTATAATCTAAGAAAGTCTAGGTCCAAGATTCAAGTCCTTGGACAAGTCATCTAACCTCTCTGAGCCTCAATTCCATATTAGTAATACGAATTCACAAACAATATAAATTCTACACCCCCCAAAAAAGAACCTTCAAAAGGCTAATGTGAAGGTTAAATTGGATAATAGCCCTTTCAAACTGCAAAGTATTAAAAGCAATTCTCCATGCAATCAAAAACTATTTCTCTCTCTGGCACCATTGTTTTTACTCATTCAAACTCAAAACCATTGATATTTCCCTCTCAAATTGCCTATAACTAATAATTCACCTAGGTTTGGCATTTCTTTCTCAGCAACATCATTTTTTGTCACTGCTTTCTAATAAATCCTCATGATTTCAAATCTGCACTGCTCTGAATGACTGATTTATCAGCTTCTGGCTTCCTCCTTATCTAATCTATATCACATCCTAATATCAGATTTATCCTCCTAATACACTCAGCTCAAAAGTCTTCAGAGGCTCTCTAACCCACAGAACCAGGTCCCACCTACAGAGCCCTGCATTCTATGACAGGACCGCAGCCGGGGGGCCAGCTCCTAAGCTTATCTCAAGGTTTACCATGTGCCCAAGGGCCTTGCCTCATACCCAGCCAGTATGAACAGACAGATCATCAAAAACTTTCATATAACCCTACTTGCTTCTTCCCTTGAGCTTCCCACTGATGGACCCAACTGTCAAAGCGGGATCCTCTAATATCATTAGGAACTTCCTCTTAACCTTGAATCTGGGAAGGCACCATTAACAAGGTTAGGCTGGTTAATTCTAGTGCACACCCCACATGCTAAGGAGCATGCCTGCTGCCCAGTATCATTTTCCTTCTGCTTCTCTCTTGGCCCAGCAACTCTTTGCCCCTCTCCTACTCTTTAACATTGAGGGTCTACCATAATCAAATTCACAGCTCAATGGGAACCCATTGCTCCATCTCAGCCAGTGGTTTCCAATCCCATCAGACCAAATACAAATATTTTATTCCTGGAATAAACCTCACTTGAGAGTGATATATTATCATTTTTATATATTACTGGATTCAAGAGGAAATGCCAGGTAGGCAGAAGGATGTGTGAGAATGGAAACAAAGACAGGGTCTTAGCTAAAGAGAGGCATGTGTAGGTCATCATGTTATAGCTGCTATTTAATTCATGAATAAAATCACATGGGAAAGAGTGCTGATTAGAGAAAAGAAGGCCCCTTCCCTGTCCTAAAACTCCATAATATTTAGAAAAGGAGACAACACAGAGAGAGAGAAAAGCTACCCACTTGGAAAATCTGGTGTTAGCTAAACAGGAATGATAGAAACTAAACTGAAGTGGTATGAAAAGGAGAATGAAAGGTGAGAAAGTGAAACAGAAAGTAGACTTCTTGGGAGTTCCCTGGTGGCCTAGTGGTTAGAATACCAGGCTTTCACTGCTGTGGTCCAGATTCAATCCCTGGTCAGGAAAACAAATCAGACCAGTGACAGATTACATTTATTTCATCAATATCTTAACAATACTATTGAAGTAAATCTCTGTTATTTATCTTGCTGTGGAGCAGCAGAAAAGTAACTGTGGTTCCTTCAATGCAAAAATAAACTGAAGTCTTATTTCAAGATTTGTACTTTTAAAAATGTAGTAGAGGTGAAGTTATTAATACTAAAATTTCTGAAAGTGAACTGAAAAGATCCCACTAATAAAAGAAGGTATTTCATTCTCTTGAAGTAGAGAAACTATGCCGGAAGTAATAAAGCAAAAGATAGAGCAATTTCATCTCATAAAAATTTAAAATTTATATGTATCAAATAACTGTTAAAAAGACTTTTTAGAAAAATGACAGAATGGAAGAAAATATTACAACATACATGATGCTGATATATAAAGAGCATCTATAAATCAGTAAGAAAAAACAATAGAAAATATATTAAAGAACAGGAACAAAAATCAAGAAAGAAGAAATACAAAAGACTAACAAGGTGGCATGATCCCCTCATTTTTAAGAACTTTCCTTAAAAGTCATGAATATAGAGTAACTCTAGATTAATATGTGCGTGGAGCTCTGCAAACAAAATCAGACGTGTAAGATTCCTCAGTTAGTGACAGTCTCACCATCAATGCACAGCAGTTTTTTTCTCCACACCTGAGTATATAGCAGGATAGTTTTATTTTATTTAACATGAATTGCTATGATCGTAAGAGGTACTGATTTTTAAATTTCAGTTTACACATTCCAATTAGAAATATAACTATGTAATTTAGAAACGCAGCATATTCAGAGGTGCATAATAGGTAAACACCTATGGGCATCATGCAAACACAAAAGCAAAGATAACAAGAGAAAATGCCTACCTTCCCTGATAGCTGTGAAAGGTGTACCTTCTTCTTCTTGCAGCCTGATCACCTTCAGGGCTACCAACTTTCCATTTACCCTGGAGAAACAAAACAAAAGATGAGAAGCAAATCCGTGAAAATATGTTCCCGTTATGGTTCTAATTGTCTTCCTTACAATTTATATTTTATGCATTTTTGCACTGAAAATGTCAGGACTCAATTATGCCACCACAACAAGATTAATTTCAGTAAGGCTGGGAATCCTGTATCATCATCATAAATAGTCACACTTTAAATATTCACATTTTAAATATTCGCACTTGCATAGTCCAAGATTTAACTGAAGTTTTCTGTGATTCACTCTATGTTCTTCCCAAAATGAAACTAGTGCTTAACAAAAACACCATGTTCGATCAATTATTCACAGATTAATTAAAACTCAAGTCGTCAAAATAACACTCTCCCTTTGTTTCTCCAATAGCGCCTCTGTTTCTTTTGCTGAAATGTCTTTATCTTCAGTCTTAAGTTGAAGTCATTCAATCCCCAAGGACGGAAACCTGACACTCAGTCTTCTTCCTTCTCTCTTCCCTCTTCTTTCTCTGTCTGTCTCTGTCTGTCTCTCTCTCAACATCACCCATTCCTCCCTTTTTCACTATTTTTTTTTTTACTAGAGCCTCCTAAAATTACATTTGTCTGATTGTGTTTTATAATGCAGTATACCATCAAAATAAAAGTTAAGAATATTTTACTATTACAAAATTACACAAGACCTATCCAAAGCAGATGTTTCTTCTAGACACATTCCAAATGTGTATCAGCTCTAATTAAAAGTAAGATTACGCTAGGCAGATAACTTTTTATCCAATCTATTCTGTTAATAAAATAAAGACATGATTATCTATATTGGTCTTCTAGTTGCCTGCTCTACTTTCTACCTTGACTAGGCTTACCAACATACTTCCTTAATTAAAATAAGTAAAAGAAACACAAAGCATTTAATGAAAAGTAAATCTCCCCGCCAGTTCCCACCCTCTGAGGTCACCACTTACCTCAGAGAGGTAACTTAGCTTAACGTATATACTTAACACACACACAAATGGTAATATGGCATACAGGGTACAGTGTATATTATTTTTATCACTCGATATACTTTGGTGACTTCCTCATAAATTCATAGAAAATTGTCTCTTGCTTTTCAAAGACCACAGGGTGTTCCTTTGTATGAGTGTAGTATGCTTAATTTAACGCCAGTCCTCTACTGATAGGCATTTAGCAGGTTCCCAATTTTTGGCCATAAAACAATGATATAATAAATATTCTTGGACATAATTTCATCCATGTAAAAATACATCTGTAAGACAAATTCCTAAAAGTAAAATGTGGATGGACCTAGAGTCTGTCATACAGAGTGAAGTAAGTCAGAAAGAGAAAAACAAATATCGTATGCTAACACATATATATGGAATCTAAAAACAAAAACAAAAGGTCACAAAGAACCTAGGGGCAGGACAGGAATAAAGACGCAGACCTATTAGAGAATGGACTTGAGGACACGAGGAGGGGGAAGGGTAAGCTGGGACGAAGTGAGAGAGTAGCATGTACATATATACACTACCAAATATAAAACAGATAGCTAGTGGGAAGCAGCCGCATAGCACAGGGAGATCAGCTCAGTGCTTTGTGACCACCTAGAGGGGTGGGATAGGGAGGGTGGGAGGGAGGGAGACGCAAGAGGGAAGAGATATGGGGATATATGTATATGTATAGCTGATTCACTTTGTTATAAAGTAGAAACTAACACACCATTGTAAAGCAATTATACTCCAATAAAGATGTTGGGAAAAAAAAACAAAGTAGGGTGTGGACAGCCAAGAAAAAAAAAAATGTGTATCTCTAAATTCCAACTCTGATGACACTGAGAAATTATCCTACGTACAGGTTGTACCAATTTATACAACCTATAGAAGATAGGAGCTCCTGTTTCCCCTTTACCAGTATATACTATGTTATCAACCATTGATTTTGCCAATCTGATAGGTGAAAAATGGTTTCTTACTGCAATTTAAATTGCAACCAAAAATCTTTAGAGGCTATGGAATCAGCAAAGGAGAGCTCGTGTGGCCCAGAGAATACAGTGCCTGAGTCTGAAATAAAGAATTTGAATGTCTCTTTGTAAAGAACTGCAACCAATTGGTCTGTTTTCGATTAAAAAAAAAAAAAAAAAAAAAAAAACAACAAAAAACTGCCACAGGCACAAAGGTCAAGGGAATCATCACAGCCCAACCATCCTAGTGGCATCCCTCATCAAACGGATTGTTGAAATATATTATTGGTTACAGTAGTCAAAGGACATCCAGTTATAACGCTCCACAATGTGCCGTCTCCTCAAGACTAGGAGTCATGTTTATTTTCCCTTGTGTCTCTCAGCTGGGAGGACAGGCCTGCCGCTTTTCTGCTCTGCAACTCTCCTCTCCTGAGTACATCACCTTGATTTTCTTCTAATCCTGATTATGCTCTAGGTACCCAGGTGCAAGCAAAAAATTAATATTCACATGGGGTTCAACTGGTGAGTGTGACTTGTGCTGGCCATTTTGCCCTTTATGACTAAGGGAGGCCTCTGGCAGGGCTTGGGGCTGGGATGCAGTCAGTACTCACATCTGCACAGATTTTCTCAGCCCAGCTGAGCTCGTCACTGGCTCCCTGAGGAGGCAGGAACTGATTCCAGAAACTGCTTGGAATTTTGCCTTCATTTATCGATATTCTCCCCTCACCCATAAAAAACACATACAAACTTCTTCCCACAAAGCTTTTCCCTTTCCCTTGAGATCGCTGGCTTGCATATACCGTGAACTGAATTCTAGAATACAGGAATTTGTGATTTTGGAAGGCTATCTGCTTAAAACACACTCTGAGACCATGAAGCTATGAGTCCCGTGTAACACACTGAAAGGAGAAGAGCCTTTAATTGAACCAGCCCTCATGCTTTAAATGCAACTAGAGAAGGAACACCTTTAAGCAATCTCGTAGGCTAGTGTGCATTATTTTTGTGGCGAAAAAAATTTTGAACATATTTACTATGATAAACTGCATAAAAGAATAAGATCCAAGTTAATGGGATCCTGATTCTGAAGCACAACTCTCCGCGAGTTAAAACCTCCAACTATCAATTTCTTATAGTTACGATAATCACAGCAGTTAAAGGCATTTAGATTTTATGTATTACATCATATGAAACTAAAAAATTCCTTAAAATTTATACTAGATTATTAGCTCCAGGAGAATACAGAAAAGGAACTCTTTTTCCGTTTTGTTAACTGTTACATGCCCAATGCCTAAAACTGTCTGGCACAGAGTAGACTCTCAAAATACTTTTTTTTTTTTTTTTTTTTTGGCGGTACGTGGGCCTCTCACTGTTGTGGCCTCTACCGTTGCGGAGCACAGGCTCCGGACGCACAGGCTCAGTGGCCATGGCTCACGGGCCTAGCCGCTCCGTGGTATGTGGGATCTTCCCGGACCGGGGCACGAACCCGTGTCCCCTGCATCGGCAAGCAGACTTTCAACCACTGCGCCACCAGGGAAGCCCTCAAAATACTTTATTGACTGAATATTAATAATGTTAATATACTGATATTTCTTTCCTCATACCTATAAGTATCTCAAGAATAAAGTATAAAATTATTATTTTCAATAATTTCAAAAATATAAAATTTATAAAAAGATTTCAATATCTTCTTTCATGTTTATTTGTTTTTTTTTTTCAAATTAAAGGTTCAGTCTCTTTGTTTTTGATGATGCATGAAGATATAGAAAGTTTTCATTTCCTTAAGATTTTAGAATTTATAGAATGCTTTGTTAATTAACCTTTTTCACCCAACAGACATGTTTCAGAACCCTCACTATCTTTAATAATCTGAGCCCAGACTAGTAACCAGTATTTCCCTCTTCTCCAACTGCTTCATTGGTTTCCCGTTAAGAACCATATTGATTATCAAATAGCCTCTAACCTAAGAGTCATTGTGACTCTCTCTTTTCTTAATTAGTTTTTCTCTACATGTCTAGACACTCACCAACTACTGAATCCCTCAGTTATAAAGTCTAGAAAAAACATAAGTCACTGGCTCCACTTTTGGAAAAGGTACCTTTTGAAAAAATAACATTACACATTTTCTAATATTCTACCTTTGGGGCATATTTTTTTAACTTTAGTACCGACTGAAACACTTCAAATTCTAAGTGACGAACTCTAACAAAATGTCATTTTCTTAGAGATATCAAAAGAAGATACCTATTATTCTATGAAAAACAAAATAAACATGGTATCTAATAATTACCTTGTATGGTTTAAACTATTTTATTAACTATTCAAAACACATACTTCAAACATTGAAGTTCTTTAGAATAATTACAAAATTCAAATTGAATCAATAAATTAGAGCTGTTTACTGGAAAACACTGAAGATTTCTCTTTAACAAGTTTTATTAATTAAATCAAAGGCTAATGAATAGAAGGTAACCAAGGCTTGATTGGCAATGGAAACATTAATTCAGGTAAATAATATAGCAAAAACAATGCTTTCAATTGTGTTAATATCACCACAGAACTTTCTATTGGAGATATTGCCAGGTTTGTGTCTAGTTATTCTAAGCTATCTAGGGAGCTGTTTTAATTTCAGAGATTCTTTACTATTTTCTAATTCTTCCAACCACTGCCTTTCCCAGCGTGTCCTCACTGTGAAGCTCACTTCAGGCCCAAGGACAAGTGACACTGCTTTAGTCCACATGTCACACAGGAACAGCTGTCAACTGCATCAGGAGGAAAAGCCAGGGGAACGTCCGAGCACAGAGCTATCCATGCACAGACATGGAGAGGCTGGCTGTCCTGGCAAAGCCACACTAGAGTGGATCCAGCTTTCAAACCGGTCCTAACCACAGATCCAAATCTCTGCCAACTTCAGAAATTCTGTCCACAAATCTATGTGCCCTAAGTTTGTAAATAATAAAATGATCTTGTGTGGATTACGCACGATTGAGAAGTTTTGAATAAGGAGCACAGCCTATTCATTTTTTCATGCATTTGTTACTTTAACATTTTGTGAAC